GCTCAGGAAAAGCTGACACGTTTCGGATTCGCTGGCCTACCCCTTCGTGGACAATAGAGTTGCGCTTGTTTGTCGTTATCCACATTTTGAATGTGTATTATCTTCCAGGATAGATTTCGGAATCGGGTAATGCCGAACACAACTGCGATTGTTACACGTGTTGCCTTCATAGATGTGTTGAACTTTTTGCTTCTGAGATGCCCGAATTATGCATTTCAGTGTGATTATTATCTCTCTCGTCTAACTGAAGTTGTACGCTTTTCCGTTTTATTAAACGAACTTGTCACTGACTGAGTCAAGCTTTTTGGTGTACTCCACCTTTCCGGATATATGATAAAAGCTCATTAACATGTTTTGACAATTCATTTTTGTAGCAGTCTGGTTGATGAAAACAGTCTGGGTTATCTCATTTCGATAGAGCCTAAATCTTATCCTCATCAGCGTTATGGGCAGAAACGCGTCAATGTCTCATAGTGATACCGCCAGTTTAGAGTTACAAGATAAAACGTGATATCCACTCTACCCCCTATCTGTGCGATTGTAAATTTGGTACTGATGAGTCAATACGCAATGCTTCCATCTACCAGTTTTCGTTTTCTGACTGTTTTGTTCAAACTTCTGAAGAGGATGAACTGTTTTAAAACGTGATCAGTCGAAAATAAACTTGAACAAGTTGTTAACATTTTCAAAACAAAACTGAGTTGTAAGTGAAGACCATACGACATGTATAAGACAGCTTCATTGTAATTTTTATTGTGTAGCTTCATTACCTGTTCTCACTCATACCACAACGCTCGAACCAATGAGCCCAGTTGATAGCCACCACTTCAAACGTCTGCAGCTGTTGGCATCGGAGACGAACACGACTTACATCTGCTAACCTGTTAGTAATTTCCTCATTGTCCTTTGCTGAACCATCGATTCGCCATCTCATCTCATGCCAGTATGCTGTAGACTCGGTAACTATAGTACACTGAATATTAAGCAGTAGGTTAGCTTTTTTTCTTCTTATTTACGACCGTCTTTCTAATTATGTGCACAGATAAATGTTGTCGTTTGACCGAATTGTCCCTAGTTTGTCAGCCCGAAATGCTGTCTAGATTTTCGTGGCATACAACTGTCCGATTGAATTCGCACTAGCTCACATGACAAATTTTTGCAACCGAGTTGCCACTTAGTTCATCTTTATAACTCAAGTAGGACCAGTAAATCATTCAGCACAATCAATCGTAACCGGAATGTCTGTGTTCATCAACTTTTTCCCATCTCTTCCAATGCAACTTGTAGGGTATCCTTTGCTACTCAACAATACAGCCTCTACGTCGTGCCTTTGTTGTTGTTTTTGCAACGGGCCATCCGAATGGATCTGCGCGTCTATCGGAACGCTCACATGTTGTATCGTGTCGCCAAAGTGTTCTCCCAACCCGGGCTCAAAATTATGCTGCATAATGCTGAAGGTCTGTTGCTTTGACTGCTTCTTTATTTACCCGTCCATCTTCAATTTATGATTTTCGTCTGGACAGTCCGACGTAAAAGTAGTTTAGTCTTTTCTTATCTGAAAAAACGTTTTGATAATTCATTGGCTGTAATATTCTTTTGAATTTTCTCAACACTCGCCGCCTACTCCCCTTCTGTAAATAACGCGATTGAGGATAATTAAGTCCGGATTAAGGTCGCCCTGGCCGCCGTTTTGAATTTGACCACCTTTACTTATGTTCGACCACTGACGGTGGAAAACACTTTCGGGACGTATCATTTCGAATGCTCATCGGTGACGTTAGTGGATTCCAGCGTGGATTAATCGAGAAATCCTGCTTGGGCAGTCAATCGGTTGGTTCATTTGGTAGATTCCATATGACACAGTTGGTTAGGTGGGTAACTAAGTCCAAATATTAAATTTCTGAGCTTCCGGCGTGGCTTCGTAGCTGGGCATGTAGAGCATTTGCTGTGTTTGGGCATGTTGTTTCTGTCGCTGGTTCGAATCCAGCCGATGTCCAGATTTTTCGTAGTTGGGTCTCTTCTACAGTATTTGCTATCGTTTATTTTGAGGGGCAATGTACGCATCTCCGTTTAAAGGAAGAAAAAACGGGAATACCAAAACTAAGCAACATATATGTACGATATCTGGTTTGATGAATGGGCTCGCCGTTGGTACTCGCAACTCCTCGAAAACTCTAGCCCAAGTTGCGCACTGGTTTCGCCAGGTCTTCGGTTACGTGTTTGTGTCGAACACAACGCACGTCATTGGTGACTCAGCATGATTGCAGACTATGAGCGAGGCTTTCTGGTTGACCGCAGTTGCCACGGCAAAGAACTGAGTGGTCACTTTGGCCACCTCGTGAATTTCAGACCTTGGTCCGCAAGAGACTACATCTTACCTGAATGGCACGAATAAAGATTCCGAGGATAATGTGTTCTGGATTGAACAGCTAACGATTAGAGAGTGGCGAACATGACATTTCCTGAAGAGCATGGCCTTCTAGCAAATGATACGCGTACCGGGACGTTCACTTCCCTCAAGATAGGGCCAAATGAATTATCCTTGATCAAATTCCGGAGAACTGGACATTGGCTGGAGAAAAGTCTCTCCACTCAAGATTTGCGCGAGATGAGAATAGTGGTGGACAAACTCGGGATGCCCAGACCGCCCACACGAATTGGGTTGTGGATGTAGCTGATTGGGGTGTCTTTAGAAAGGCGGAGCTACTGCCGAATTCCAAAGTCCATAGCTTTGGACGTGTCTCGGTTGACCGCTCAATACTAACGAGTGATTCATTTTCGGGATCAGGTGTTGTCTAAGCAGTTTTAGGCGTTGATGTGGCTTCAAGGGCGCTTTGGTGGTTTCATCCAGCATCGTACGAAGTTGGTGACTATGATTAGTGAATGCTTTACCTTTCCAGGCGGACAGGATACCGAGATAGGCCACCGTATCAGAGGCACTTAGTGACTGGATAATGTCCTGGCTGAAGTGAATAGACACGTTAGAGATAGCGATTGCATTGTGTTTACGGTGACCGCGGATGACCATGGACTTAGTTTTGTGTGTATTGATTTTCAGCCCGGGTAGTTCCAGGGCACTAACGGCGGCTGCAAGCTTATCGGGGAACTTATGTTACATCTCATACCGATTCTATACGTATCTACTCGTCCGCATTTACTGATACCCCTGTAGTTCCTATTGTAGAAACATTACCGAGCTGTTATACAGTGGTTACCAGGTCACCCTGACCTCAGTGTGTGTTCTGATGGTACTCAGGGAGCCTTTGAAATAAACTTGGAGGGGGTTCTCCATTCGCATTGCGTCACCGACTGGTTGAGGTTATAACGCCGAGTAAGTTGCTTGACCTCAAGTCAGCATCCATGCACCATCCGGATATGCTGAATATAAACCATTAAACTGGAGCTTGACTGCTTCATGGGCAATCCAACTCAAGTATACGGTCGATGTGCACATCCTTCTAAATGGAGGTTGCGGTCCACTTTATTTGTTGCTGTAACTAACCGTTATGTGCTGTACATTGAGGTGCACGTGCAATGTGTTTCATGTGGTCTTACCATTTTTTTTGTTACTCAGTCGCCTCATTTTTCTGTTGCTTCACAACATACTCTTGCAGTTACTGATTGGTTTCTTTTCGTTTACTGAAACTGATGCATTGTCCGTAGACTTCTTTTTTTAAAATCTAACTAAAGTAAATCTAAGTAACTGTACTCTTGTTCAACATTTTTCGGTCCGTTTCTTTCCTTTGAATCCTGTCTTATGCAAACTTGGTCTTTCGCTCTTCATTACATATGCGTTTCATATGCACGTGTGGTTTCCCCGTAGCAATCCGAATTGTAATTTAACCGGTTGCAGTTTTTCTGAGATCAGTTGGACCTCCAATCCTATAGACAGTAGAGTCCAACTTGACATACATCATCTATTTCACGTTAACGTTACTTTTCACCGCTGTTCTATTCCCTTTTTGCATTAGCTGCTGTTCTGCAACAGGCTATCGGGACCACACAAAGTCCATTGGGCGACCAGACAGATGTTTCATCCGATTTGGAACAGACTGGGATTTGGGGGGCTGAATTCGCAGATGCATTAAACCAATTGCTGACCGTCATTTCGGGAACTCTCAGCGAGTGAGTGTGATGCTGTCATGCACATGTGGCTCTTCATGCGATAACCGTAGTCGATTGCTCTCGCGCGGGGCGTTTTTTCATGTACTACATTTCAAGGTTTCACATTCGCCCCCATTTTCTCCTTTACGTATAACCCGTTTGGTTAACTGATGTAGAGCCACGGGAGTTATACGTGTCTCTTTCTGAATGGATTATTGAACTCTGTTGATGTGGCTTAACAGTAACAATCAATTGTCATACTTCACTGAATGGAATTTGATTATTTGTTTGTATGATTCTTGGCTAAACTCATCGTCTTTCTTCAAAGTGCTTACTTGTCAATTTTACTACTAATGAGTAGTTTGGCAAATTTGTAATTTTAAATGAGACCCAATCGTGAAAAGTTAAGGCTTCGGCTGAATTCGAACCAGCGACAGAAACACCATGCTTCACTGCGGCAAACGCTCTACCAGCTGATCTGCGAAGTCATCCCGGGGGCTCGGAAATTTCACATTTGATATCTGTTACCCACCCGTTTCATTGTCTTATAAGGAATCTCCCAAATGATCCAGGGAATGGACCGCCCCGGTAGGGTTTCTCGAACAGTTCACGCTGGAATCCACCAACGCCACTGTTGAGCATATAAATTGTATTACTAATGAGTAGTTTGACAGATTTGTGATTTTAGGTGAGATCCAATTGTAAGTCATCTGTCAAACTACTCCTTATTAATACAATTTATATGCCCAGCAGTGGCGTTGGTGGACTCTAGCGTGAACTGTTCAAGATATCCTACCGAGGCAGTCCATCCCTTGGATCATTTGATGGATTCCATATAAAACAGTGAAACGGGTGGGTAACAGAGTTCAAGTGTGAAATTTCCGAGCTCTTGGCGTCGCTTCGTAGCTCAGCTGGTAGAGCTTTTGTCTTGTTGAGGCATGATGTCTCTGTCGCTGGTTCGAATCCAGTCGAAGCCCGAACTTTTCACAGTTAGGTCTTATCTTCCAATTTTACTTCGCGTCAATGGGCTGTTTATACTACGGGACCTATGGATTATTGATTAATGTTTCAAGTACCCATAATATTGATATACACTTAACGTCACTCATAATCGATCACAGCTTTTGTCTTCCCATAGACTTTTCGGCCAGGTTCTTCGATAAAAGCATCATACTTGAGTTTCTCCCTTGTTGGAGCTCACCTGTAATGCCTGTCATTTCCGCAGTATGGGTTAGAATTCCGGCCACGCTTTCATGAGGCAACCATGTCGGCCATTTCATCACCTACCATCCTTTAGGCGCGACCGAATTGTCATTTGTGAACGTTCAACTACTTCCGCTTGTAACCAGTGCTAAATTTATGTCAGTCAGTATTATCTACAACTTGTGATTACTTATGTTACCGAGCTGTCTAGTCAACATGATAATTACTAAAGTAATAAGAAAACCAAGCATTTGTTGGATATGAATTAATGTTTGTCTGAGCTGACTAGCTTCTTATGCCGCGCATTTATGCTATGACTTTCAATTTCACATTTAACTTTTACTCGACTTATCTGTTTTGCAGTAGTATACTTTTATTTTCGAATTTAACACAACCCATCGATCTGTATTTTCCGTCCTCATGCACAACTGTTTTACACGCTAACACTTATTTGATTTCCATAGACTCTAGATCGACCGTATCCGACTTTATCACTTATACTCCGTTTCATATCGCACTATAGCATATTTGTTTATATGAGTAACGGTAGTGCATCACCCATCTTACCGCCCGAATTAACTGGACGATTTACCTGGTGTTTCCGCTGCACTGTTACATACGTTTGTAAACCTGGTCGTAAGTGACTGCTCATTTAAATGGTTTATTATTGTACTTATAGGACCACGTCCGGTATCAGTATATATATATATATATATATATATATATATATATATATATATATATATATATATATGCCAAACATTAACTTCACTGAATGGATGGTAAACAGATGGTTCCACCTGCCGTATTGCTGGTTTTATACTTCCTCAAACTTGACCATTTGTTTTTTTCGGCATTCACGTTCTTTCAGCTACATGCTTCTCTGATCTTTCATGTTTTTTTTCCTGTCTCTTGCCTCCTTCTAATCGGATGTAACGATTCGAGCCGTCGGGACATTCCATTTGTTTTATTTTCTCCCAGTATTTGGCATTTAGCTTCACAAACCTGTCTTGTGTATCAGAATCACTGTGTCACTATCTGCGTTCAACCAACTGGTCATCTGTTCGAGGAATCAGTTATTCACAGTGGTCACAGTGGTTTTCTGGTGGATCTTATTAAACAGAGGGGTCCGTCAACCATTAGATAGGTGACTAATTCAGCGAGTTGCTTTCTGTTCTGTTTACTGGTTTTTCCCCGTATTGTGACATTTCAAACAGGTATTCACTTTCGAAGCCAACTTTCGGTTTACACCATTTAAAAATAATCGTGCATTTGACCGTTTCTTGTGACTTGAAAGTTCGGCCACGGTTTGCTCTTCTGTGCTCTACTGAACGATTGTAGCTTTTTCACGAGGGAAGGTTGATGTTTATGTGTTATAATTAATAAGATTTATCTTCGGATTGTCTCGTTGATACAGCCGCTTTTATCGACAGAAATATGTGCTTGGACGTTTGTGTCAGTACGGCCACGATCTAGGAACGCATAGGTCAAGGGAATAGATAAATAACTGTCAACGAACAGCAAGTCATGTACGTGTGGATAACGGATGCACGTATCTCACGCTCGTGGCTCTGCGAAACGAAAGTAGCTTGTATTTCGATAAATATGGTTGAATGAAACAAGTGACATGGTCGTATATCGCGCGCGTACGCATGCATTCGCGCTGCTACGATTGTTCACATAAGCTGATTTACCTGTTGCGTTCTCTATTTAAACTACTGTCCCTGGGAATAAGTAAAGGTTTGTCATTTCGCCATCATCGCACAGTGTTCATAGTAATTCTAATTTTACCCTGCTGAACGTATTAAGATATAGTTCAGTGTTAAATTCATTTGCGACAATTAAGTCAAACCAACCTTCGAAGATATCACACTAATGACCACCGTCCTTTATAATATGAGCAATGACCGTATTGCGGGTCATCACTCACTCGTGTTCGTGATTGTTTGTGTCTCACAATCCATTCAGTTTCAACCTATCGAATGCAACTCGGTCCACTTGTCAGTACGAATATTACACCACACTGTGTATTGTTGAGTGCCTACTTTGTTTTCACCGAACGTCGTTTGAAGCCTGTCCGAAAACGTTTCACTGTTCATTCGAGTTAAATATATTTGGGGCACAGGTGCTTTCATTGATGTACAAGTTGGACCGACCACCTCCCCTTAATATTCACCAGTCAAAGGAAACGTTTAAAGAATATAAATTAACGGTCGTCGACATTGACCTTAACGTTTAGTCAGGCGAGCACGTTCGGCCCATCACGCATACAGAATAATTTCTCCCGTATACGGTCGTAATCTGCCACGCCCACGCAACCAATATTCAGCAAGGTCAGACCATGTCTCTGGCTTTGGGTGCACTTTTAATCCTGTGCATTAGGCGATGCTGATTGGAAGCATTCAATTTTGGCATGCCGTCGGCATATTGCGTGCAGAAGGCCTTGTCTACACATCTCACTTTCACTCATATACGTCGGCATGGGAAATTTAAGCTACAATTTTTTTAGCATTTGGACTTCGTAGGAAAACCTGCTGTATCCCACGCTAACTTGCGTCTACCGCTGTGTTCAACTGGCTGTTTTAAGGTTGAACTCTTAGGCGCCTATTAGACGTGATTTTCCCCTCACTTTTGAAAGAATGTGTTCTGATTACAGCCTCACTAAGTTTGATGGACAAACATCTAGCCCATGCTTCGTGATATGCTAATACCGCGCTTACGATCAAACATACTACCATTTCGAATGCAAACTCACTAGTTTGCTGTGTCACATTTGTTATTGATGTTCATCTCATAATTCATTTACAATGTTTTGGATAGAAAGGGATTTCACATCTAAAAGCTGCATACGGCTAAAATACAATTGTATGTTGATCCCTGTTACATCTAAGTGCCTAAACTTTAAAGTTCTGTTGATTGTCTAGAAGTATTAGTATTCTAAAGGATGTAATTTGGAGAAATGGTTCCTTAAAACTGTGTAAACAAAAGTTGTCTGTCAAGGTCTTTATAGATAACATGGTCACGTTTTGAGATGTCTACGACTATGTAACGTTCACCCATTCGAATGATCTTTTCTTGCTGTCCTCGATTATTTCAAGAGTTCACGCAAAAATCTCCAAAGCAGTGGACACCAATACCGATCGTGGCATGTGGAATCGTTTCACGGATTTTCTCACAGAGTTGTTTTTGGAAGACGAGAACGCAGAGCGTGTGAACCTCCGGAAATGTGAACAGTATTTGAACGACACCGTTTCACTGCTTCAAAACTTTTTTGCTATCGATCAGGTAATTATTGTCGTGTCTGTTATAGCTATGTCCTGATATGTACATCCTTCATTATCTAGGCCTGGAATCATGCGCCGTTTTTGGCGTTATTCTCCTCCTTCGATTACGTTTAACGGCTTATCATGTATACAAATTGCTGTTGACTACTGCGTTTTGTTGTCGTTGGTATGGTTTAACTGGTTAGTTAGTTCCCGGACGTGTCATCACTGTTTTATGTCATCTCGCTAGCATGACGCTCTGTGAAACCAACCATTCACAATCTGATCTAGAAATCTCCTTAAACATTAATAATCTCTTTACATCCTTGAGTCTCGACTGTCTACCTGCCAGATTCTTATTCGATTATATGGGATTTATAAACCCAGATTAGTACGCTCTGTTTGCCTTACGGTGAGTAACCTTCCTGCTCGAAAAACGTTTGCAGTGATGCGTTTCTTAGAGTCAGAGCTTCGCGTGGGCCGGATACTTCAATATAGTTCAAATTTAGACATCATCCAAAGTTACCTATCTTCAAATTGATCATTTTGAATTTGGGCCCAGGTGTTGTTACTACTGAACTTATCGCGTACGCCTCTCGATTGTGATATGTTCTCACTACAAAACACCACATAGAATGAACCCTTCCTATTAGGGAAAAATTATGGAAACACGATGCAGTGACGAATCTTGTACCGTTCTGCGTTACATTATCACTCATAACTGGACTTTGGATCGTCGCTTTCCAAGACTTGTTACTAATGTTTGGATTAAGTTTTATATGATTACGTGACTCATTTCCAAAGGCAATTTACAGACATGTGCGCTCAATTATGTGATCGTTAGACATCATCCAGAATATTTACTGCTATCAGACAATTACAGTTTGCGCCTTTGGATATTACCTACTTCATATGAGTGATCACTAGGTTGTTACTATGATTTTGTTACGGAACATTTTTGGCCAAGTTGTTTTTAGAGTTTAGACTAAGTAAAGTTTGTTTTCCTGGATTTTCAGTACGATTCATTGTCTAACTGATATCAGGTAGAATCTTGACGAGCCCGTCGCTTTTTTCACGTGATCATGTTTCCAATAGCAAACAGATCAAATATAAAGGTTGTTCGGATAGAGACCTAACTCGTCAACCAAGACCAGAGTGTTCGGCTTTTACTCCAAAATATGCTTTTGCCACTTGACTCTGAGTCACCTGTCGACTTTATCCTATCAGGCTGTCAAGATTTAGACAAAACATTCGAGATAATCAGAGTTCAAACTCACGACCTAATTGTTGGTTCTTGACATCGTCAATATTGGGTTGCCACAAACTTACTAATCAGTGGTTACAACACTTGAATATAAGTTACAATATCACAGGCTGAAATCCGGCTTTTGCGACTGCTCCTATTTAGGTCTACACATTCCATTGATATCCAGCCTATCTGTGACCATGCTATTCATGTTACAACGGATATTTTGTGATACACGAGCTGGAAACATTGCTTTTTAACACCA